TCAGCAGTCAACAAACAATTCAAAGGAGCATAAATGCACTCGTTCAGAAAGAAGTCAGCAGGTCGCACCGGAAAATTGTGTATTCGTAGCATTGAACGACAGTTACAAAGTGTGGTTCAAGTTCAGGAAGAATGGTAAATGTGACAACGGATTACAGACACTACACATGGACTAGAGCAAACAACGGCCACTCCTTAAGTGGTGGTCTCAAGGCACCTGTCAATTAAATTTGTCCGGACTACATGCAGCTGGGGTTGTCATTCTTTTCTCATTGTCCCACATCCATCAACATGTTCTACCAAATACCAAACTGTGAAAGCCTTATTACCTCTTGCTTTCTGTCGCGAGGACACAGTTAAAAGCGAAGGTTTAGCTATTACTGCAAGTTACCAGGATCTTCCACTATATCGTACAGAACAGATCAGTTCCTATGTGGACAGTTAATTTCACTTCCGGTTCCCACGATTGATGTCCACCACAATAATATCATACTTCATTTTTCAGTCCTGAGCGGCGCTTCCGGGACAATAAGTCCTCAGTGGCTCCCAATATTTCTGGGCATGTCAACGCTTTTGAGATAGAAAGCACGGCGCTGATGCTGCTTCACATGGACTCCAATTTCCATTCATCATTCAACAAACTGCTCTTGAAGGTTTGCCCGGCACTCTGGTAGTGATTGGCTTCCACATCTGCCTGTGATGCATGTCTGTTCTTTGGTCCAGTGACACTTTCAATTTCGCCCGTCGTGCATTCAAGCGCAAGCACAATGCAAATAAAAATTCTGCACATATGTTGTTTTATAACTAATACAAACATGTTTTACATGTTGACTTGTCAGAACAAAGAAAATGAAGTAATAGGCAGAGTATGTTGAGTACAGGTTTAATGCTCCTAAAGGGCATGTTCGCTACAGTATCTGTTTCAAACATTGCAGATTCAGCCTCTCCGCACCGGTCTTCAAGTTTCGTGAGGCTCGTGACAGTGATCATTTCCGACAAAAATGAAACTGCATTCTGGTATCCCTTTTTTAGCATTGGTTGTTTTTGACCTGAAAGTAAAGTGAACAAGGAAGCCTTGAAAAACAAGTCGTTACTATTAACCGATCAGCATCCGAGTGAGCTATATCGTTGACAGCAGTATGCACCAGTAGAACATACTGGTGCTTAACTGCCATACAATCAGAAGGAATATCCTAGTCTACAGTGAGAAGGGTAAAAACGGGTACTTATTGAAAACAACCTTTTGTCCTTGTCTAGAGCAATCAGGAACTAGGTATCAGTACCTAGGACAGCAGCAAGATAAGTGCATTTAAGCAACATGTTAGGGTGAGATGACATCAGTACAACTGATCCAACGTCGTCTGCGAACTCCACCCATCAAGAGTCCACGAAACAACAGCAAACAAGCTCTAGCTGTGCAGTCCGACTTCGCGCCATATCCTGTAAAATTTTAAGCCAAGTGCACGGATAATCACGAGAAGGAAGGCGCGAAGGTCCTACGAACACAGGTGCCAAGTCATGGCTTGTTGGAAGCAGTGTTCCCCGCGAAATAAACTCATTTTTAAACCACTGTCTCAAAGTAAAGACCCAACTGCATTCGAGGTGACTCTCTCGTTTATGTTATTCTTCAAATGAATGTGCTGCACAAAGGCCACCTGACGTTCCAGTCGATATCGCTGTATATTTTCCTGACGGGCTACTATCCACAGAGTCGCTGAAAACTTAGAGTTGAAACCAGCGTTGGGTCTACTCCCAATGTGGCGACCATGCTAGAAACTTACTTACGCTTCCCTCATGAGCTATATTCAAAGTGACTGACAGTTTTAATTGCAAAACCTGTGTAGGACGTCCGCTGTAAGACGCCTCGAACAATACCACACACAATTATATGGAATGGATTCCTCACAGCAATGAAGCACGACATGAACCCGCTGAACAAGTTCATCCGGCTGAGCTGGAAGTGCATTTCATTGCTTTCCGATTACTAGTCATTGATATGACGCAGATAGCTAGAGATAGTGGTCCTCATATAGAGGTGATAGGTAGACAACTCAACCAAATACCAGGTAGTGTAAATATCATATGTGCCAGTTGTAATTCTAATAAATGACAACCACTCAACCCAATTGATTGGGTGTTCAACACACCAAACTCACAGGTGGTTTTGTGCATAATCGTTTTTGATACCTTGGCTATATATATATGTATATATATATATATATATAGGTTCTGAGGCCACTCGCGTTATATCATATTAGATACGGAAGAATGCGAAAGTGGACGACAACTTCGTTACCACTAAACGGGATTCAGTATACTAGGCACATGAACTGCTCAACACCACTTTTGAAGATATCAAGTCTACAATCGAACTGGAAAGGAACAATCGACTACGATTCTTAGACGTTCTAGTGAACAGAAAGATGAATGGG